CTACAAATTGCTGGTTAGCTTTAAGCAGAAAATTTATGAAAATAGCGTTCGAAAGTCTGCGGAACAAATTCCAGTGAGAGTTCTTCAATGGTTCTCACATATTCAGTTCACTTGTTTCGGTTCGACATAATCAACCATCGTTTACGTCTTTATTGCACCATTAGCCGATCATCGTCAGTAAATTGTACAGTATATCTTTCTTTAAATCTGGAATATTGCTGCGACAGCCAATAGCACCTCTGGAAGGCGTTTCTGCGCACTTTTCGAATGTGTATTGCACCATCCTGAAGGAAATGAGAGGACGTGAGATATCCAACCTTCCTGGGTAGACGTCACAAGAGCCACTAGACCCATTCTCCTCAAACTCGGTCGTGAAACAAAATGGCGGTGTTTTGGAGCTATTTTCGAGATTTCGTCGGGGCACAGAAAATCGAGGATTTAACGGAAACCAAAAATTTTTTCGCAGAACTATTTCAAATAACAAGGAGATTCGTTTTAGCGAAAAAAAATTTTTGTGGTTAGGTGCACTTTAAGTTCAATACTACTTTTAAAGCATTCCAAATGTTAAAGACATTAATATGCTTTTTTATTATTGTGCTGTCTCAAACGAACATGCATTTTTTAACTTCTTTTGGAGTGTTGCGTTACATTGCAAATTTCAAAGGGGCTGAATGACAATTTTTTTCGAATTTTGATCGGCATTCATGCAGAATTGCTGCTAGATCCCACGAAAGTAAACTGTAAACCTAAAATTCATTGACTTGACTGTCTTTGGCAAGAATATCAGATGATTTGAAGCACTACTGGTCAGCTTTTTCCCTCACTGAAATTACATAATTTTTGAGTTTTGTTTTAATTACAAAAGTTTGTTAACTTAATTGGGGCTCAGTTTGCTCGGAAAACTCAAGAAATGAAAACAATCACTATATCTTGATGAAGGAAGAATCACTGTATACATATAAAGTTGAAAACATTTAACAGCCATCTAAATGTCTGTGTAGCAAGAAGTTGAAAAGTGTAAAATTTTGGATTATTTTAAGTGAAATCAGAGCTTTCAGTACGATGCAGTTTTTGGTGAATTTCTGCTGTTATATTGAATATTTCAAAAAAACTAAGTTGATTTCCTTCAGTTACTTACCTAGGCCTTTAAACTGAGAACAGAATTTTCTTTGATTTTTACCGACATTCACTCTTAAATCTACAGCACCAGTGTTTCCGCCAGACCGTGCCATTACAGGAATCCCATGTTGCAATCAGAGATCACCCCCAGAAAAACGAAAAAAAGGCCAATTTGGCCCTTTCCTTTTACAAGACAGCAGGCTTAACACAGGCATAGTATTTTAAAAGCCATCCCAGGGCTTGAAATTGCGACCAATACCGTTGCCAATGCAACTAACATTTCATCCCTGGCAACCAAAAATTCTGGTTTAGTCGCCATAATGGCGACTACATTTCTTTGTGTTGACAATTAATAATGGTTATTATATCACACATTATGTCCCTCTAGAAATTATATTTAAAGATCTTTGCTTCTAAAACATTCAACATAAGAAAAGACATCAATCCATCCTTTTGTTTTGCTGTATTGATTCTCTCACATCGGAGAAATTCCAAGTTTGAAATCACCCTATAATGCATTGCAAACCCTCGATCATTGACTATGCCTGTACATGTATGTCTATAGATTGTTCTCTTGTAATGCACAGATTCTTGATACTATTATCTGATTTAAAAAAAAAAAAAAAAAAACTTTATTGAGTAGAAACACTTCAAAAAGCACTTACTATTAAATTTTATCATAGATCTTAATAAACTGCTTTATTTTCCTTGATACCCTGATGCAGTTTTTCCTTCTGTAGCTTTCAATTTATTGGTCCCTTTCCTACAAAAATTGGCCCCTAAAAAAGGTTTCCCGAGGCCACTTTGGCCCCTCGTGTAAAATTTTCTGGCTAAACACTGCACTAGTGTTCTATTAGGAATTTAATTCTGTAATTGGCTACACTACTAACTACATGTATCCACTCTGTTGTAGATATTGAGTTGCCTAGCAGTATGTGGTTGTTAACAAAATGGCAACTGCTTCTTTGCATTTTTGAAGTGTCAGTGAAGAGGATTTAATTAGATATAAAGTTCAGGATAACAAGTAGATTTTTACTAAAATAGAGCTGTGACCAGTCAGTACATACAAGCCAGATACATGTAGAAAACAACACAATTAAAAGTTGTTAAATTTGAAACAAATGAGACCCTTTTCAGTAGCCATGATTATCTCTTACCGTGTACTTTCCTGATAAATTTACATCAATAGTCGCTTCCAGCCACTTGTCACCTTTATCACCACTTGCTGTGAACACACTGTTTCCATTTACATTCACAGTTAATGTCCCCATACCTGCACCATACATGTGGTAGTAGAACTGGAGACACATGCTCCCACTGAATTGTAGCTTGGGGCTGTTTAGTCTTGCATAGTCACCTGGCTGTCGAGGGGATGATGTCTCTATGTACATGTAATATCCTGTAAAGGTAGGCAAGTGGAAATTAAATATTTACAATTACTGTCACTGAAAAATCATTATGAGGAAATTCTCACCGGCATTTTTAAAACAACTGAAAGTTTTTGGCATTCATTTGTGGAAGGAGGAGGGGGGAGGCACCAAGCCAAATTTCAATTTTCATCAACTCAGTCAACTGAGTCAGATTACGGATTTAGCCTTTCGTAATGCTCTGTTGTGCACTTGTGACATGTATTGCCCATGTATATCTGATCAAGGTGTGTAGTCATTGCTATGTAAGTACTCTCTTCTAGTCGCTGCATGCCAAACCTATCAACTTACATAATTTATGGCATTTCTACATGTATATTTTCAATTACAGTACAAAGAAGGAATTAAAAACTCTAATGAGTTTGAAAGAGCATCCTTCTATTTGTGCATTTACGACCAAAACAAAATGACCTGACCTTTGTCAAAAAGTAGTTTTTATGATAACTGCAGAAATTCTCGCGTGCTCATTGGCTAATTTTCATGGTCAATAAGCGGACAGACACATGATTTTATAATTTATGCCATGCGTCAACGAGCGAGAGCGGACAATTTGACAATTTGCTTTTGTAAAAATCAAATTGACATCAGTTTTTCATATGTCTGTCCTGTTATTGACAATGAATTTCATCATAACATTGTCAAATTAGTCTGCGGATCCACTCGGTTATCACCTTGTGGATCCACAGCTACTTTGACAATGTCGTGACAAAATTTATGGTCAATAACACGACAGACGCATGAAAAACTGACGTCAATTTGTTAATTTTACCTCATTACATGTATATATATTATTTGTAGTATTAGTATAAAATTCCACCTTTTAACAATAAATAAGATCACTTCTTATTTTCAACTGAAGTAAAGGAGGAAGATATAATCAAGGTCCATATTCATACCTGCACCATTTCCTGTGGTGTGGTCAGCAGATGGTCCAGTACCACTAGAAGCAGTGCTTCCGCGATGTTGTGTCCAGTCAAAGGTATCACTACTGTCCTGGACAAAACCGCACATGGATGTATCAAAGTTGCAACCAAAGGCTAAAAAATGAAATCAAAAAACAATAATTACTGATAAATACACATAATCATACATGTACATACTATTTGATCAGTACACTTTATTTGACAGCACTTTTTTCAAGCTGCCATTATAAAACCCTTGTAATAAACGTATTCTTTCATTATTGAGTAGTGTTACTGTTTCTGAAATTTGATGATTTAGCTGGGGCAGCAGCAACATTCTACATGTATGCTTCTTCTTACACTCAGTTTCTAGACTATTACACGAACATTACATAATTTCCAATCACTTAGCTTACATATATATGTACATGTACTATCATTTGTTTACAAAATAATAATCAATCCAGTCATCAAAAACTGATCCATGAATGCTAGTTTAAAACTCTCTTATGCACTCACTTGAAAGACAAGATCCTGATTCCAACACAAAATCATCTATTGCGATGTCACTTTGGTAATTACTTCCCCGTATTCCTTCAAATGTAACCTACAACCATTACAACATATGGAAATTGGGGACGATTTAATATTATACAAAAACTGTGAGTAGGATCACAATGCTACATGACCAACTGACTACCAATGGGCATAATAATGGCACTTAAGTGCGTTCGCACGAAATTTTCCAGTTGCTCTAGATTTTTTTAAATTTATACTGCAGTTAGATAATGAGTTACTTGTGTCAGCAATGCAAAAAAAATTAGGAGTCACCGACTTCATTTCAGAGATAAAGCATGTGGAAAACTACCCTGATTTTGAAAAATTGGCACAAGTTATTCAGCATTATTATTATTATGGTCTAAAGGGGTTTATAGTTAAAAATGTCAAAGGTGAGTCAACGGAGACAAGCGATCTTAGTCATGTTTTGTAGAGGTGGGTCTGTTGTGTAAATAATTCCAAATGTCACCAACGTTACACAAAAATTTTTTTCGTGTAACCCTTCAAGAGGCATTTGAAACCATCGCACAGATAAACAAAGAGCTATTTAAAATGAACGGAATTTGATGGTGCATTTTGCAAAAAAAACTCAAACTTCTAATCGATAGGTTTTCTTCATTTTTTCGCTAAACATAGAAAATCAGTAGAGATCAAAGTGGCTATGAGCCACTCAACTTGGAAAATGGATCATCTGTAAACAGTGACAATTTTGAAGCCACTGACTTGAAGGTTTGATCCGTAGGTTAAGTTGAAGTTAAAGCCCACTGGAATTGTTAAGAAATAGTGCAAAACGCAATGGTAAGAGAATACACTAGGATATGTAACACTGCTGAAAACATTCATGAAGTTACTGGTCTGAGAGACCGAGTTATCGTCCTCCAAGAGACCGAAACAATTTAAAAGAAAGTACAATGTACTGCTTCTTGTCCAATCACCAAAGCAAGTAATAATTCTCATTTTCATTCCTCTCATTTTTTTTCTTCTTTATTTTCCCAGACAGTATCAGTGGTTTTTTTCTCTCTCTTTGTTACCTTTTCTCATCCTAGAAATTAAAAAAAGTGCGTTCAGCGTAGAGTCACTATCCCACAAAGACAGCACCACGTCTAATCCGCTCAACAAAGTTAAGCCCTGTTCAGCAGGATTTGTACTTGGATGGGTGACCAAATACAAATACCCCGTGTTGTAATAACTTCTTTTCATTTTGTTATTTTTTCACTTCCCTTTCCAAGACAATATTAGGGAGCTTAAGAAACCACGACGACGGTGGCGAGGACAACATCGATTAAAAAATGATCTTATAATTTAGCTACGAATCTTGTGGTACCCTAAAGCCATTTACTTTGTTTATCACTGTCAAAGCTACATGTATCAAGAAACTGAATCTAGGACACATCGATAAGTTCGAAATAAAAATTTAAAAAATTAGCCATTGTGGTTCATGTTCTCCAGACTATGCAGAATTTGGTCATTTCACGTTGTTGCTTTGAAGAGGATGGCAAAGAAATATACGAAGGATTATAACGCACGTGCACAGCTATTGTTCTGCTCATTAAACCTTTTGTTGAGCAATGTTCCCATTGCCATCGTGGTTTTCTTAAGCTCCCTATTTAAGACTGCAGAACTCCCAGCCTTGTCTAATGATGTTTCTTCTATTTATCTACTATTTGTTCCTCATTTCGCCATGTCCGTATTTATGTGCATTTATACAGCGGAACGCGTCGTTCAAATTCTCCTCAATTCTCTTGACTATTGATCGTCTAAAACAATTAATCACGGCTTGAATAATTCGAAAATTCATACAGCTCGTCAATTTTCGGCAATCGATTGTGGTTAATCCTGTACGAGCAGGCACCTTTGAGAAATGAGCTATTTAATATATAATTACAGGTAGCTTCTATTTATACACTGTATTAAATGTTCGTGTGGAAATTTATTCAGTGTAGAGCATTTCTGTGGTAAGATCCAGAGTACTGAGAACTTGCGCCAGAAATTCAAAGAATAACTAACATGACATGGTACACACGACTGTAAAACAGCCTTAAATGGTGGATGTAAAGGTCGGGGATGCTCGTCGTCTCCGGTACAAATCAAGGACTCTGGTCTCACTTAGGGTGTTGATGACAAAATGTCACCATTTTTAGCTGTCAAAGTATCCTTTAGGGCGCACTTGAAGAAATAATAATTAAAAGAAACGTTCTCATTTAATTTCTGTTTTAAGGCTTGATTTCCGCTGATATCTCAAGTACGTGAGTCAGTTGTACAAGTGTGCGCTGGATCCTTTCTTGAACAGTGGCTAGTAATCAAACCTATTCCATTTTTAGTGGTATATTTTAGGGGTTTCATGAAACTCCAGCAACTCCCATATTATGTCTCCTTTAATAATAGGAGTTAAATTCAAATTTTCCAACGAGCATCCCTGACCTTTTCATATTGGAGTTCCCCTCCGGGGTTTCAAATGTCTAACAGGAAGTGATGGAATGATGGAGTGAAATCACTTCACCGCTACAACTTGGAAAATAATATTCTCCAAGTTAAAAATGATCCATCAAAAGAATTTAAATACTTGTAGGGGTCACTGAACACCCAAGAAAGTTAAATCCAGGCAAAGTTATAGCAATGACCATCTGTTCCATCATTGTTCATTTTTATTACTTAGCGTGTGTCTCAATGCATGATGCAGCATGTGAATTTGTGTGCGCGATAAGGATGCGTAGAAACAATTAGCACGAACGTCCTTAACAAGTTAAACCTGGCTACATGTATTTGCAGTTAGTCGGTTTAAGTTACCAAAATATCAAAGTCACTCATGTGATGGTGCATTTGAATAGTTAACCGACTCTCAACCAAAGAAGGGGTTACCACAGGAATGGATTATTAAATGACACTATAGATCTATTAATTTTTCTAAATGGACATAAGTACAAATCAGATAAGAGGAAATGTTTCATGATACATTTTAAAAATAGTTGTATTAGGAATGTAATTCTCTCACTGGCTACTTAACTAAATACATGCATCTATTTCTGTTGTAGATATTGAATAGCCTAGCAGTATGCAGTTGTTAACAAAATGGCAGCCACTTCTTTGCATATTTGAAATGTCTGTGAAGAGTCCCGATCTAATCAGATAATAAAAGTTTAGAATGTCAAGTAGGTTTTTACTACTTTAAAAATGATTGGTCATGACTATTATTTTGCTCTCAATTTCTATCGAAGTAGATAGTAAGTAATGTTAGTAAATGTAATGTAATATAAGTTTGATGTCATGTAAGTGTTGCAATGACTAAATATATCTGCTGCTATCCAAAAAAAAGACACAGAAAACAAAACAAAGCTGAACTAATACTTGCAGAAAACTAGGCACTTCAGTAGCCATGATAATCTCTTACCACATACTTTCCTGATAAATTTACATCAATAGTTGCTCTCAACCACTTGTCACCTTTATCCCCACTTGTGAAGAGCACATTGATTCCATTTACAATCACAATTAATGTCCCCATGGCTGCACCATGCATGTGATAGTAGAACTGGAGACACATGCTCCCGCTGAATTGCAGCTTGGGGCTGTTTAGTTTTGCATAGTCACCTGTCTGTTGAGGGGATGATGTTTCTATGTACATGTAATACCCTGTAAAGGTAGGCAAGTGGAAATTAAATATTTAACACTTCTGTCTCTGAAAACTCATAAATTTGGAAATTCTCACTGCCATTTGTAAAATGACTGAAAGTTTATGGCATTCATTAATTTTCTATATTGCATTTAATCCTGTCCTATTCAGATCTAGCATAGTAGACTTCAGTTCGTATAGTGTGATCATCTGGGTGAGGGTAGTTCTGAAAAGAACTGTTGTTGGTGACTGACATGTCAACAACCTGAGCGGAAGTCACCTTCAGAGTCAAGTGAATAGTGTTTCTCAGTCGATGATGTTATAAGTCTGGTCCATTGAACGTGATTGGTCAGTCTAGCCATGATTGTATTGGCTGAAAGACTCATGTAAAGTTTGTCATCAGTCATTGGTCAGTTTCGATCCGTCCATTGTTAGTCAAGTTGGTCAGTTTTTGGTCCATTTATTGTTAGTCAAATTAAGTTGGTCTGTTGGAAGTCCCTTTGTCAGTTTCATTTCTGTCATGGATAAGTCATTTGTAAGGCACCGCTAGTTGTTGGCATCTGTTAAGAAGTGTTTGTTATAGGTTGGTGTACCACCTCTCCAGAGTCAGTTGTTGAAAATAGTTTGTACTGTACGTTAAGCACTGAGCAGAGTCCCAGTCATTGTTGTGGTTTGTCAGTTGATGATGTACAGCAATGTGATTGTTGGCATGGCCATTTCTCGTGGCTCATTTGTGTTCAGTCAGTCTTGTGTTAAGGTTTCTGCCAGTCTCACCAATGTAGGAGGCCTGGCAGTCAGAGCATTTGATCTTGTAAACTGCTCCCTGTCTGTTGTTAGGTTCATCCCTGTCTTGTCCCTGTAACACCATCGACTGACAAACACTATTAACTTGACTCTGAAGATCACTTCCGCTCAGGTTGTTGAAACGTCAGTCACCAACAGCAGTTCTTTTCAGAACTACCCTCACCCAGACAATCACACTATATGAACTACTGATACTCCTGGGTTCAAACCAT